ATTAGTGAAAGTATTTGTAATGCTGTGGTTTATTAATCAAAATTATTTTTACTAGAATTTGAGGAGGAATCGACCAGGGATTCAGAAGAAATGGCAGCCGCCGTCAAGGCGCTGGAAGAAGGTAAACTTGATCTATGAACTGAATTATTATTTATTTGCTTTTAATTCTTTTTATTCGTAGATCCGGATTGGGAGATGGATCATGTGAGCGATTCGTGCTTCGAGGATTCTGCAAATTCGGAAATGTAGTTTATTTGTGTTTTCCACTATTCTTAGTATTTTTTCTAGCTTGGTTGAATAAAGTTAATAAAAGTCAGTAGATTACAGTGTCGCTTTGCGTTTCATGCTACTAATAGCTGCTCGCACATACAAACACACGCAATTTATATTGTTTATTCAGTTTATTAATAATGATAGTATTAACACACACCAGCGATCTTATTCGTTGCCAGAGCAACGCTTCGCTGCTACTTTACACACTCAGTTGCTAGTCTACCCAGCCAGTTGCTAGCCTACCAAACTTGATGATAACTTGTTCATTGGAATTCGGTCTTGTTTAAAGTTAACTGTACTATCTGCACTTTTAAACTCGTGTTTTTTTCACGTGCTGAATTTATTGTCGTGAATAATTAGTAAAATGTCCGAATATCTTTCGCCTATGGATTGGGAGGCCTGGGGCCGCAATTTCCATGATAGTTTTTCGTCCTTTAATGCCGAATTTGACGTCGTGGATGAGATTTTGCGGGAAGCCGGTGTGGTTCCCAAAGTGCGCGAGGGATTCGTCGATCCCGATACTCAAAAGGACCAGTATTTACCGCGGTAAGAGGCGATCTCCCCGCCACCGCCTGAAACGGATCCTGAGCCCGTCCTGATCCACATGCCCAAACCCAGCAATACCGCCCAGTTTCAGCCGCCATGCCAGCTCGTACCAACGTTCGACCCTGCACCTTCGCCGCACCAAGCCCAACTTTCGGTTGCTGAACAAGCATCGCTGGACTTCCTTCAAGTTCGACCTAGCGGACCGGTATCGATGTATGCTAATAGGGATACCGTGACTTTGACGCAAGCCGGAACATTGACGGTGAACATTACCAGTGAGAATGTCGTCCCGCAGTTCGCGACCCTGCACACTTGCCGTGGAAAAGAGAAAGCCGGTTGTGCCATCACCATGGGGGAGCTGCGTGCTGTACTGCGCTTTCTCCTCTCGACTGAGTGCGACGCCCAGATCCACCGCGCATCGCCACCTGTCAAGAGGGGCCAACTCGTCGACCCGATGTTTCGAAAAGGGTTCTCTCTCACCCTGCACGCCGCCTGGGTCTCTCAGGCGTCCAGCAAGCACTTACGGCTGCGGATTTCGCGCATTGGAGACAACCATCGCAGCATAGCCACTCCCAAGATCAGCCAGACCACCCTGAAGCTCCTGCGATGCAAGAACTGGTACGAGCTCCTTCCGCAGCTCTCCTCGGGTTTCTCCCATAGGATCAAAGGTGAGGCCACAAGTTCATTTAGGTTCAGTTCATTGTTCAATGAGTTCGGTTCAACGTTCATAAAGTTCAATGTTTATTAAAGTTCCGTGTTCAATAAATTCATTTAAATTCAGTTCAATGTTCAAAAAAATTCGAAGTTAATATTTTAACGTTCATTGTTCACTGAATGTAATTTTTCTTGGTAAATTATATTTTCGTACGGACTGTAACAGCAAAAATTAACTGAAATATTTTTTAGCCTTTCCGCAGGAGTTCTGGAACGACTCCCGGTCATACCTAGCTATGGAAGCCGCCCATGCTGCGCCCTCTATGGACATCGCTGGACCGACGGAAGAGCAGTTGTCTGTGATGCTGTCTAAACTGCATGCTTCTAGTTTTTACAGTATTTTGCTTGAGCTGATGCCTGTGTATTCTGATTGTTCTTTTATATGCTTTGCCAGTACTGATTATGTGCGTGAGCAGTGTCAGATGTGGAACTTTACTGTGAACAATTATGTAATCTAGCTTTGTGTAGTTTAGCCACTGTGTAGGTCAGCAACAGTTTGTGTACGTTAGCCACCATCAGTATTTTATATTAACCTAACTCATTCTGAATAAAATTCAGTCGGCGTGTTTTTGTTTGGAAGTGTTCCAAATAGTTTTCAGTCATGGATGACACATTATCCGATGTTAATATGGCTGATTTAATAGCAGATGGTGATTGGGATGACGACGATTCCATGCAGTTAGATAGCGATACATTGCGTGATGCTGGCCTGCTACCGGCAGAGGATGACTGGGTTTTGGATGAGCCTATGTCCCAGTGGGGCGGTAGTTCTGATATAGCTGACAGAGTCGATGTTCGTTGCATTGGTCGCAAATATTTTAGAAAGTTTCGTGTTCATTTTAACACTTTTGACGTTAAAGTTTCTGATATAAATGATACTGCGATCGCTGACATTCCAGAAACCATTTGTAACATTTTGGAGTATATTCCGGCTGTTGTGTTGACCGGTGTGAACGATAGCGATGCGGTGCGTCTACGTGTTGATTCACGTCATTTTGGTCGCCCGCTTTATACATCATTGACCTTGCGTACGGAACTGAGTGTCCAGCGGTGGATGGCGGATATCCAGCGAGTTTTGAACAGCCATGAAGAATCAAATTGGACGATTTCTTTCAGATCTTTGTCCAGCACACGGAGCTGCCGTTTGGTCGTTGTGTGAAGGATGTGCCGGCACTACTTCTGCGTCGCTTAAAGAAGATAAGGTCCGTGACGGTTGCAAGAAACGGTAGCCCTTCCGTTTATGAGTTCCAGCTGCATGTGTGGCTGAGCTAGCGCGTTCCGCTGACCCGTCAAGATTACATGTTGAGCATTCGTAAATACATCGAATACTTTAAGTTTCTGGGTTACGCCAATCTTCATATCTTCATACTTCGGCGTCCCCTGCATCACTTTTTTTGCGATACATCCATTTGGCATGCCAAAGTTACTGTAATTACCGTAACTGTCACCTGGATAGATGCTAGGCAAAAGCCAGCCGATAACGAAAGCCAAGCCAGTAACGATCGACATCAGCTCGACAACACAAAGGCAGCCAGCATAGACCCTTATCAGTCATGCGATGAATACGTAGCCGGAAAAGGTCGTGGCCACTGATGAACGTTTGCCTATCATGCTGAGTTTCCTGTTTCTTATTACTTTGTCTTTCTTGCACTTGCTTTTCTTTGCATCCCCCAGGCATTCTTAGGTCCTACTGCCGTCCCGGTTTTTGCTTTAGTGGCATTTCTATATAGTAATTGAAAGAACTCATTTTATTGTGCACGGTACTATCAACCTGTGACTAACAAAATGCACAGAAAACAAATTTAAAAATACGAGTAAATACAAGATTTATAAACACGGGAAAACATTAAACCCAAAACATTAAACCCAATCGGAAAAAGGCTCTTGTTTTGATGACGGTTACTGTACTTCGTTCACATAATTAATTTGTCAGTTTAACGATGTTTGTACTTCTGGATTTACTTTTACAGCGGTAGCGAATAAAGTAGCAATCTGCGTGTAAAGAGGAGCACATCGATTTCTCATACATACTGTATTATTATGTACAGTAAATTAATGGTGGCACGAGTGCTGGCCAGTGGCCACTGCTGCACAATTTAAACCTGCAAAAGCGCCCTGTGGTATAAAAAAACTTCCACCGGAAATCTGCCCAGCAGTTGCTTCTCGTAGCTTGGGGGTGCGGTTTTAGGGGCCGAAGGTTTAGCCGGCTTACAGCCAAAAGCGTCTGACGGACGGCTTTGTTGGTTACGGATAACGCAAGGGACGGCATTAGCTTCATTATCTTACATTTTACATGTTAATCTAACGTCTAAAGCAGCATGTAGTGAGAAAATAAATTTAATAATTATAGAGATTAAACTTTCGTCCACTATTCCGTCAGTCATTCGGCTATGTTTGGATGCAGTAAGTGCAAACAGTATATCCGCAACAGCGTTATTCGATCTGCTACCGAAAAAGAAATTACAGCATTTCTTGTAAGAAATTATAGAAAGAAATTATAGCTAGAACGGGCATCATTTGCCCGAAATAAATTATAGCTAGAATTATAGCCCGAAATAAATTATAGCCCGAAATAAATTATAGCTTTTCAATGCCCGAAGAAATTATAGCTAGAACGGGCATTAAAAAGAAATTACAGCTAGAACGGGCATCATTTGCCATGGCCATAGTGGACGGATTCGTTCACATTCTGGGTGGAAAAATTACTGATGCTTCTGGCTGTATGCCAACCGCTCGATGCAGTCGTCTGAACCTGGAGAGTGCTGCATGGGAAGAGACTGAGCCGCTGCTACAACCGCGGACATTCGACAACCACATACGCCATTTTGCTTGCGTCGTCACGAACCGGATTTACGTTTGCGGCGGCCGATTTGGTGACAAAACTCACGCGTTGCCGTTAATTATAGAATCTTACGAGACCAAGCATATAACAAGATAGTCTACTATCAACTTTTCGGAGGCGGATCAGCAGCTGCTTATGGATCCAACGGCTGGTTGCGAGGAGAGAGAAGCAGTAGCGGTCGTATCTGTCTGCGTGGAATCTGACATTCCCATTACTGTACAGTACTGAATGTGGTTCTCCACGCGTTTGCTGCCCAAGCAGAAAGAGTTCTAAAGTAACTATAATAATTTGCATTCCTTGACAAAAGTATCAAATTAGGAAAAACTACTTTTAGTAGAACTGTATCGACCATTGGTCAAGGGGACGCCGCAGCGCCGAACGGGCAAGTCGGAAAACGGGAAAGGATCAGCTAACATCGTCCAGCTTTAAGAAAATAAAACAAATCACATGGAACGTTTTTGTGTAGCTTAAAACGAAAAAATAATGTTGAGCAGTGGAATATCAGCCTGCTAGTTTATTCGAGCGGTCAGCACCATTGCACCAACCTGAACTGGCACAGCCACACAGGCTGTTTGTTGCAAAGTAATTTGCACACTCTACAAAAATGTTTAAGAAAACACAGGGAAGCAACGCAGCGGCATAAATTAAGTGATGTCCACGCTACAACATCGCGTGGTCACTGGGGAAGCGTGAGTTACATTGTGTACGAGTACGAGTACCACCCACTATTTTGATGTTCATGTTTACCCCCGAGAATACCTCTCGCGCTTTAAGTTATGACTTGCCCGCGAGATAATCGGCGATGGTATTGTAATACAATTACTGGATAATGCATTTTGGATCCTAATCCCGAGCCAATGACAAGATGCTTATTCCGTGAATTAAAGGAAACTCACCAAATAATCTAATTCTGCTAGTTAACCAACAAAGAACTTCCCAGTGTAACGAAACCATGTTCGAGACTGTCGCCAGTGCGAGCGTTTTATCTCTATTAAGACGAGAACTCTTTATTGCTACCGCGATTTCGCCGACGAAGGCTTTCTACAAGACCTTGAATGCTGTGTTCATATGGGACTGGAGCGACTGCGGCTGGACCTCCACCTGTTCATAAAAGCCATTTAGCAAAAAACTAAGAAAATATAACTGGTTCCGTTGCAATTTTGGGATGTGCCTACCGTGTTCTGGTTTTAAGGTCTCCTGTTGATCCGTAGCCGAATCGTCTTCGCTTTCATCATTGCCAGAATAGTGTCCTTCGGTCAGTTCGAGTGTTGGCACTTTGTTCGGTCTCGAATCGCTCGATGCCTGCTTAAAATCGGCACTGCTGTTAGTATCGATGCCCTGTTCAACGTCCGCTGGCTGCGCGCCTCCATCGCTGGTAGAAGGTTCATCTGGTAAAGTATTTACAGAGCTGCTCGGACTCGGTAACTCTACTTCAAAGGAAGAATTTTCTTTCCTTTGCGGCATGACATTCGTGTCGTTAGATTCAACGGGGGTTACGCGTGGAGTGGTTTCTGCAAGTTTCAAAGTAGAAATTACTTGGTAGCGGGTTTGTCCGTAATGTAACCGCCATGCGGCCCGCGCTAGTAAATACTATTCATAGCGCAATGACATTGTATACAATTGAATTATTTTTGGTCTATATTTAGAATCAGGCGCTTTCCACCGGCAGTTTTACAGTCAACAGTGATGGTCGTGACGCCCATATGATAATCTCTTAAGTTCGTTATGCAGTCCTTTTCTGTTCTGTAAGCTGTACCTGGTGGACGAAATGTCGATTCCGCTTTCACATATAATACGCTTATTACCCACAAGACCACGAACGTTACTACTGAAATGCCAGTAATGAAACGAACATCAGTGATCCACGTTCCTGGCGGAAACGACTGCGCGGAGAGGGCATGTATGATAAGTCCCAAAAACAGCATGGCGGAGGATACTACTGCCGAAGAGCAAAAAAATGATGTGCTGCCAAGCCACGGAAGAGTTTTCCTTCGCAACTTCCACATGAAAATCTGGGGAATAAGGACTGAAAATGTAGCGCAATGATGCCGGTACCGGCATCGGATGCTCGCTCCATGGGATCTCTCCAGGCAAAGAAAAATAAAACTTCAATGCCCAAAATATTCCACCGTGGAGTACCAGGCATGAATAAAACAATGTTGATGAACTGTTTAAAACCAGTGCCCAGACTGTGGTTTGCACGAGACAGTAGGGTACAGATAAAGCCACAATTACGATATAGCTTAGCAAATTATGACGATATGGTCGCAGATCACCAGCAAGAAGAGCCTTCTGTTGATCACCTGGCGCATCACGGCTGCTGTCCGGAACGTCTACTTCACGGAGCCTTTTCATACAGTAGCATTGGTCTCTTAACGTTTGTAAATTATATAACTCCCCGCAGATGCTAAATGAAGAGAACGCCACCCTAATCCAAGTCATCCCATCTGGCAGAACGCCAACCCGAAATGCGCACCGTATAGCGAAGTATAGACGTAGAAATAGCTGCGGCATGGCTTCGCCGAATATCTCCACCTTCAAAACTTCGTGCAGCTTGCGGTTAGCTTCTTGTGTTGCCTGTATCGCTTGCATGTACTTATCTTGGGATTGTTCGCTTTTTCTAAATTTTTTCCTTCTCGATTCTTTTCTCACAGCCTGTTGTACATTCACGCACCTACAACCGAAATAAAGAAGGCCGAAGTGACATACACCTGTAAAAACTACCTGATACAACAACCAGTCACACTTACGAAAGACAAAGATTTGCTGGGTAAGCGTATTTGAGCAGAGATATCTTTGACGCTTTGCCTTTGAGCACTCGCATAATGGCAAATCCGACTGGGAACAAGTATACCGCCAGCAATAAATTTTTCTCGTCAAAGGACAGAGACAGTGGGTTTGTAATGTAATTCAAAATGATGTCGCAGATGTCCAGAAAAAGGTCCACGATTACTAGTGCTGCGCAGATAAACGCAGAGAATCTGACATGCAGCCGCGCAAAACGGCCACGCCCTAATGGGGACATATACGCCATAAAAAAGTCTGTTAAAAGTGTTTGGCACATTGTGAACTTTCACGATTAATGCTAAGCAAAATTCATGTCTGCCGAATTCTTCAAATGGTTTGGTATACCAGATACAATGTGAACGTAATATCAAGGAAGAGGGAGACGTGTATCAATAATTTTTGAACGTAGTACGACAGCTTTTATTGGTAACACTGCAACAACTGGTTAAAGCGCGGAATTGTTTATGCGATGACTGTATCAAAGCAATCAGAGAATCCTAACTCTGCCGTAACTTCGCACATGCTGTTATCACTGACAGTCCATGCAAATATTTAACTCAAGCTGACTGTAGTGAGTGTGGTGGTATTGTATGCGCGCTGTACTACATAGCTGTACTACCGCTGCACAGTGATTTCAAATCTGAGCGGATGTTTGCGAATGCGCAGAACCGAAGCACTTCCATTCTTTGTAAAGCTGTATTACCCACATCCATCGTTTCATCCCTTGTTTCATTCCCATTCCTTTTTTTCTGGTTTAAAAATTTCCAAATGAGCAGAACTTTTATGGGCCAGTGACTGCAGTGGCGCTTACCTTGCCGTGTTAGCGGAAAGCCTTTGCCGTTCCACATGCCGCCAGCAACTTGTTGCACTGCTACTTAGCACCTTTCAATAGGAACGCCGAGCTATCGCATTCATAAAAGTACAGTAATTTAAGGAGCAGCTCTCGATAACAATTGTCAATTGTCTTGTTTATCAGTTATCACCGACCGAGTGCCGCCGCTTCCAATGGTATCGGAACCGAGTGGAATTATTGCTTGACCATAATAGCAAATTTCGATAGCAAATATTATTATAATGACTGCACACATACGCTAGCACAGTTACATGTCAGATATCAACGCCTGATTCATGTTGAAGTGGTGTTTACAAAGCAAATTCCATTGTACTAAAGATTTTTACAGCTCATAATTGCGCGTTAGACAGAGACTGTAGAGTCTATGAATCAGGTGAATGATTAAGTGAAATCCCGAACTGCATTTGTTTGAAATTTATCGACAGGATGTGGACTGACTTAGAAATGATAACACCGGTTTCATACTCTTATCGCAAAGTTACAAATAATTCTACCGTGCTATCTTTAACGGTTAACAGAAGAGGTACGCAAGGCCGTTGCCCGTTAGCAATGAGCATGTTTTAACAGGTGTAAGTATTGCAAGCAACCGGTATAAATCCCAAACGTAAATGTCGTGAGGTGCTGCCGGTATAAATGCCGGTATCAATCCATTAGGTATAAATGCCCTAAACGCCGGTATAAATGCCATGAGGTGTTGCAAAAGAAGAGCCACAGTATTCACACACCGCCGAAATCATTTAAATTTGAGTAGACAGTTAAACATGTAAGCAAGTTTATCTGACCGCTGACGTAACCGAAACCTAATCTTTTTGTTGCTTCATAATTATTGCTGCATATTTATTTCGCTGTTAAGTTGTGACAATAAACAGGATGTCCAAAACGGCTATCGTTGTATTAGTCGACGTTTCCAGCAGCATGCGGCATGTATATTCCAGTGTACAGAATCAGAGCGACGACACAAAAACCTCCCGGATGCAGTCAGTGTTTGATTCGGTGGTCCAAATCGCCTCCGAAGAAAGCGGAAAAAAGGACTGCAGAATATCTGCAGAGTGCATTGTCGATATTTTATCATTGCTGAAGTTTCAGAATACCGTTCGCTTAAAGATAAAAAATAGCGAAGGTTGCGGTAATCCAGAATCGCGGGATGCTGAAGTTAGGCTACGTCAAAATGTAAGTTCAGTCGTCCAAAGCTATAGTACTTGTTGTGTGGAGTGCTGTTTCCAATAGAGCTTCACGGTCAGCACATTTTGCGACTTCACGAAAAAATACAGTTTCTTGTTCATTTTCGTTAATTTTGCTGCCGTTTACTGCTGTGCGACAGGCAGCTCGAAATATTGGATTAACCGGATATTCTAGCTAATATAATATTGTCTTTTCAGAAACGAGTTTTATCCTTTTAATGCACTTTCAAGTCATTTATTTGCAAAAGATTGTATGCAGATTTCATAAGAAATGTTTTTGGATTGCTTTTTGGCATTCTGTAGCCAAATGGTTTGTCTACGTAGACTTGAAATCCGTTTGTGTGTACCACATCCAGTCGCGAAGTTATGGCGGTAAGAAAATTCAAAAATGTTTAAATAAATTAAGGTGTACCAAAAATCTCAAAATGGACCGATCTCCTTCGCAATTTGTACGTAAATTTGCATAACCACGAGCATTGTTCTTAACCACGAGCATTGTTCTTACACCACTTTTCATGATTTTTCTTCAAATTTTAAGCTGAATTTTAAAATTCATGCAATTAATTTTAAATTTTGGAAAATATGCTACAGATAGAACAATGGATCTGTGTAAGGACAGTCTTCGTGAACATGTGCACTTACGTCCAAAACTTGAAGAAGATCGGTTTATATTGAGATTTTTGGTACACCTAAATGCATTTAACCTTGCTGGAATTTTCTTACCGCCATAACTCTGTGACCGGATATTGTGCGCACAAACGTTTTTCACGCCTATTTAGACGAACCATTTGGCTACAGAACGTCAAAAAGCAATCCAAAAAAAGTGTTTGGAAATGCGCGAAAGCGGGAGTCCCCTCGAAGTACACAGATTTAGGGCTATGTACCGGGTCACTTCCCTTAAGTTGGCGCTGTTGAATAATATAAACACACATAGACATCACGGATTGGTTCAGTGCATTTTACTTTTAAAAATGGCGTACATATTGTTTCTCTGAGACTTACTCGGGAGCTACAGATATATACTGTTCAAAGATTATAAAATGCCGTAATGTTTTACTCTGATATGTTATAAATTACATGAGTATTAAGCATGTGCAAAAACATACGATCGCTGCCTTGCAGTTCCGTACGGAGTAACAATCTCTTCTAATTCTCGTGAAATGATTGAGATCTCGTCTAAGTGAAATATCTCGCAAATACACTAAAATACGTAATCGTTTGTCGACCAACACTGGGTTACGTTTTAACTTTCGCAGGACAAAAAGCGGCAAATAGCCCGAATGTTGGATCGGGAATTGACCAGTGAACTAAAAGTACTGGTGGTTAGGGATGCGATCAGCAAAATGAAGACGAGATTACTTATGTATGTAAAAAGGGAAATGAGACCTGCATTACTTCGGAGTGTGACGAGCAAAATAAAAGCAAAAAAATTCCGTGGGGTGACCTACAAGATGAAGGAAAAGTTACTTAAAGATGCGGCCAATAATATGGAAAACCGGATACGTTGGTATGTAAAGAACCAAATGGAGCAGACGCTTCATCGGTATTTGGCAGAGGAAATTGAGCGACGGCTAAATGCCGGGAGCGGAAAGGAAGTAATACTATCTTATTCGGAAACGGGTGGAGAAAACAGGTTAATTTCAGAGATGACGAACCAAATGAAAAAAGTCCTTCTTCAGTATCTAACAACGGAAATGCAGAAAGTATCGGCACTGACAAATTTATTTACTCGATACTGGCGGGGCGAGGCAAAGGAAAGCCTACTTCGAGATGTAACAGAAGAAATGAAATATTATATTAAATGCGCAGAGTTCAAACGCGGACTTACTTACAACGTTTTTCACCCTTCACATACAGACATCGAACGCAAAACCGCGCCCGTTTACACGTCTTGCATGTATGTGTGTACGGGCTAAACGCGACCGCATGCGCACAACAGTCATGACATACAGACTGACATTATGCGTGCTGACATTATGCTACTAAATTCGTAAAATTGTATCATCACATTTTTAAAAGTTAAATAATGCCATATAATCTGTTGGAAAGCACCAAAACAAGGTGGACTGGGAATATCTACGCACTATTATTTTAAGCTAAAATAAATAAAAGAAATACGGTAAACAATATTTCTGGGTAGCCAGAACAAAGTGGGAACCCGCCACGCGGTTAAGCAAAGTATACAATTTGCTGTCATAAATCCAGACGAAACATCAAAAATGATGAACTGACCTGATAATAAAAATAAATTGTGGCTTACCACGGAAGGCTGTCTAGCAGCACAAATTGTAGTCGGGTATGGAACCAGGTTAAGAACTCAAGCACAGTAGACAGTAAACTGTAAATAGCACCAACAGCTGGGTAGCCAGCGCGCAGGGTTCCCTGCGATACGACGGCAGCTATACACGACAAGCTACACTACAAATCATTAAAGACAGCCACAAGGATTCGCGAACCTTTTGGCAAGCTCCGATTCAATTGTAGTACGCTAGTCAGCTGCAATGGGATTTGAAATTAAATTAAAAGATGATCAGAAAACAAACAATTTGTAACAGAGGCGCACCTGGCCGAACACTGATACTGCATAGTCTAATCTGGATTCCCAGAACACAGGCTTCCCTGCACTATAGATGCATATCAGTTTTATACTTCTAATTTCAATAAGAAACGAAAAGGCAAGATTTAAAAAAAACTTAAAAAAAGACGGAAAACCCTGTCGTTTTACTGTTTAACCGTCGCTGTCAGACCAAAGTATGGAGAAACGATCACGTGGTTTTGAATTTTGCTATTGGCGGTGGGCAGCCTCGATCTAACTTAGAATGCTGAACCACCAATAAAAATCGCGGAAAAGCGAAGTTTGTAAGTACCTGGGCGTCGCTTAGACCCGTTACAAGGTGCGCCCATGTTGGTAACGGTTTTCGTCGACGCCCACCGACAGACATCGAGCAAAAAGCGACTTACATCGAAGCCCAGCCAATTGGAACTTGGTACGCCTATTTCGAGCTTCGATGTAAGTCGCTGTTGCTCGATGTAAGTCCGCGTTTTGACTCTGCGCATCCTTTCTATTGGTTAGTAGGAGATGTGACCCATGAAATGGATCAGGGACTACTTGAGAAACTGACAAGCGAAATGAACGTGGAAAAAATCATTTCCAGCAAAATGCAAAAATACTGGGCTTATCATGAAGTACTCGTATGCTACGCCATTTCACCACCTGAAAGTGGGCCTTTCCAAGAATCCGGTGCTGATGCTCCAAGCAGGACACCAGAAGCCGACAGGCAGAAAAAAGTAAGTGCGTTTACTCAGAGAAACTTAATAAATAAAAGTCGATGCGCTGCACGAATTGAACCGTTTCTCCCAATTTTCTTCAATAAAATTACCAGCGGCAACAAAAGCCTCAGGATCCGCAAGTTGGGAAAATAATTACTTTCTTTCCTGTTCATGGGTTGCAAAATCTGCAAAATCGCGATGCAAAAGCTTTTGCATCGCGGGCGGTAGAAAACAGATATGGCATGGTCGAAGGCTCGACTGAGTCGACGTTGCCAATGAACACCGAGACCTTCTCTGGCTTAGGAAGAGGCGCTTGGAAATATGCCGCCTCCACTAAAAGGTGTTGGGATTATCCATTGTAGTGCTACCACCCACCAACATTTTTCGAATTCACTGCAAACGGAAACATTCTCCAATAAGTAGGAGAAAATAAATTAAATTCGATAAAATCATCATTGACAGTTGATGTTCCACAAAACAAAATTGATACGTACGTGATACGTACAAGGACATAACTTTAACTCCGAAAGAACGAAGGAGCCAAAGCTTTCGCGTGGAGTCACAGTCGGAGCGGGTCATACGAACTCAGCTACGAAGGTGAAAGGATGTGAATTACTGTAAATCAAAGATGCCGTTTTCTGTTTCTAGGAGTCCTCGGTTAACACGGTCGAAAGATTACTCAGTGCACGACAAGCTCTAGCAACCAAATATGGAAATTTTCTCAAATACAACAAATATCTCTTACTGCTAACCAGATACGCAAGCTCATCAGAAGACCAGGAAGGAAGTGCCGAGGAAGGCCTAGTCACGGGTTTTTTTGAAGAGTTGGAAGACGACTTCTCTGAAGTATGTATGTAACTAGCGTCTGAAGCAGCGCCGGGCAGGAATGTAAACTGATTAACATTGGACGGTATAAACGCACATCAAACTTCCTGTTGGAATCTGGCAGGAACATAAAGTTCTACAAGAATACTTCCGAACTTGAACATATGCTCGACAGCTAAACAACGACTTGCAGGTCAACATACTAAACGCTGTGGACACTTGCTAGTGTATAGCAGCAAACGCTATATTTGTTAGTAGTAACATTCACATTAAAGTTGTGACTCTTTGAAGTAGTATTGTGCAGTGCGCATAAATGCAGTGCGAAGCATGACTGCCGAGCCAGCAACTGATTCGGTCATTGTGAGTCGCATCAACCTTTTCTGCGGACTGCGCCCACTTTAGTCCCATATACCTATGTTATTAAATAACATAACCGGAACACTTTGAATACGAACCCGAATCGGCCGAATGCAAATCTCCGCCTCTTTTTAAATTTTTCTAGCCAATGATTGCAGGCCGTTTTGATTGGTAATCATATTCGGATCCGTATCCGCAGTGTTCCGATTACGTTTTTTTATCCTTTCTGCCGGACTTCAGCAAGAAGGTTGAAGTGATTTCACTTGCCACCAACCCGCACAACTTTTTGCCGGTGACAAGCGTCCACGGCGTTCAGTATGTTGACCTGGAAGACGCTCTTTGCTGTGCTTGTGGCATATACATACTACTTCCCAGATGCCTTTTTCGACACAGGTTCCATATCGTCGTTTAATTGAGCTTTCAGTGCATGACGTTCTCGAATACTGCACTGCGAGTGGGAATAGCAGAACAGCGGTCTTGCAGCAGGTATGTAAATCATTTTGGTAAGGATTATAACTCTTGTAAAGGATTAACGTAGAGCTTTCAAGCAAGCATGCACAGATAAGAGTGAATTTGCTGTCTGAAACAAGGATAACCATTGCACGATTCGTGACGATCGCATTCTAGAAATGAGGTATAACGTACTGGAAAAGAAGCATTTCGATATTCACAACAGCATGCGAGGGCAGCAATGCCTAAAACATTAAATATTTCTTTTATGCTTTCTGTGCATGGGATCGTGCCCATCACGCAAATCACGTTCTCTCGTTGTATCTGAATTGATAGCCCAGTTAGCCCTTGCCCGAAAAATTCACGCATTTTTTTGGCAAAAAAATTGGCTTTACAGTGACGCATTACAATGATTACATGGCTTGTTCAAGCTTGGTTCAGAGTTTACAGATACCGTAGTTAATTTCCCAACTCACGGTCCATCTTCGAGGCAGATCGGAAAAGTTAATGTACTACTCTGTAACACCTTCGAAAATACACCTAAGTATACATGGTTGGTTAGCAAAAACTAGTGCGTATCGTACAATTATATTTATAGGGTCCAGGGTTTGATTTATTGATCGCTTTGTTGGAAAACAACGGCGCACCCAACTGTGCTCAGTATGTACGGAAATACCTGACGCACGACGAGTGCTTCTTCTTGCATACCTTCCACTCCACGGAGCGAGGGTTCTTGGCGGAAGCTGTCAATACGCTACCGCGTGTGTGCCGACAGACGCCAGCAAAGGACGTTTTCTGTGGTTTGCAAGGACGGACAGAGTTAGCGGCAAAATCTTCAAGCATAAAGTCGGCATCCGGTAATTTTGTGGATAACGTGCTCTGTTATATTGCCGGATTCGGTTCTACCAAACGGTTGTCTTCAAGAGCGATCGACGATACACCAGAAAATGAGCGAGAGAATGCCAGAAACCAAATTAGAAAATGTACCGATCATATCCTTAAAAGACATAGTCGGCCTGATTCCGTCCAGTTGGAGGTGGCGGTTAGCATAATAACAGAAGCAGCTGGAAAAAATAAAAACGAAAAACGAACCCAAAAGCTAACAAAGGATCAACTCGATCGGATTATCCAGAGTATAGAACCCTACATTTACGGAGACAATACACCGATGTGCGCCGCCTTATTAGCCGCCTATTCCATTCTGAAAGGTAAAGGCAACTCTAGTGAAAAGAATGCCCCTTTCCGACAGAGACGTGGCCTTATCGACCGCGTTTTCTCTTCAAGAAATAACAATAGCTTCGGCGCAGAGCGGAAGATGCTGTTTTTAATGACCGACGGCTATACCACCGACGGCACGATACCAATCGTACCGCCCGGTCTAAAAGTAAACGTGGCCACTTGTTTTATCACCGACAATGACGAGCTTAAGCAATGCAAAACCTTGCATTATCGAGATGACGAGATCTGCTGGAGCGAGCAAACGTGGGAAACAACAAAACTAGATCCCGCCTATCAAAAATGGTTGTGCGAGCAACGACGAGCGCTATTTAGACTTTGCACTACCGTACCATGCCGACATCCCGCTGTACAGTTTCTCAGACGCCGGAAATGGAAGATTCCAGAAGAGGGGGAAGTCAGACTGTTTGCTTTCGTTAACGATCCCGAAGCCATCGAAGATTTTACAACCGTGGTGCAGTCCTTAGCTAACAGTGGTGACGCGACAGCGAATTTAATTGCTAGGGTCGCCCTGGATGATTATATCAATTGCGAGATGCAGGCCGCCGCAAATTCGCCTCGTAAACAACAAGATGCAACCTGCTACGCCTACGCAACGGCGACTGTTTTCCATCTGGTCATGAAGCGGATACAAGGTCAGTTATTATAGGGTCGGCATGATTTTAAACTGTAGTTCTATTGTATCAGTACGTCCGTAAAATCAGAGATGTTTTGCACGCCGAGACCACGTTCTATTCAGTGTAAAGTAATTCGGAGTAAATATATATTGCAGGCCGAGAAGGAGGTGTACCTGCATTCACAGATTTGTATAATGAATTTGTTAATGAATTTGGAACCAGTTCGGCGAACACAGAGACAGTAATCAAAACATTTGCAACAAAGTATCGGCTGAAATATCGCCAGTTGAATGTCAAATCGGACTGTGAAGCCGGAGACAGGCGCGATGCAAATAGAGACGGTGAATACACTACCGGGTGCGAAGCAAGACAAGCTTTGAATGGTGGCCGCCCTCTAATTGCCACGTATCGTCTCAGCAAACGACAAAACGAGAATTTCAATCAATTCTACAAGAGTAACAAACAAGGCATCCTGATGAAAAATGACTTGGGAGGATGTGGCAACGAGCCAACCGACGGCCATGCGGTTGTACTGATCCACTGCGATCCCGTTTGTCTGGTGTTTCTGAATTCGAGAGGAAAATCATTTGCCGACAACGGGCTGTTTCGAGTTGCTGATAATTCTGTCTTGGACTGTAAATATTTTGAAGTTTACTGGGAAGAAAGCGCATTGAGCGAAGAGGAAAAACAGGAGTTTACGCTCTCCGGGTACAAAAAGGCACACGATTTAGCCCGACAGCTTCCTTATTCAATCCAGCAATTACCTTATCAATGTCCAAACTGTTTGCAAATGTCCCCAGCCAACAAATTCACCGGCAATTTCGTAGTAGCAACCTGCCCAAAGCGAAACTGCAAGAAAACCTTTATGCCAGCGCCTATTGGATTTGTTGCCGGTTTATAGCATCGGAGTTGTGCATAGACTGGCAAGTGGCACACGCTTGTGAAAGGGGATGACATGAGTAACTAATGCAAGCTTCCGATTATCGCGAGACAGAACAATGATTTCCAGTAGTTTCGTACGTCTAAATAACTCCATTTGATTCGCTTTCGTTTTTTCCTTAACTATCAACTTTTACGACTGCCCGATGTGCAGCAACACGCTATGCGCGTGTTATATCACAAGCCAGCGCATCAAAGCATTCGCAACTAATTTTTTCAGCAATAACAATCATGTCATTTAGTCTTGACCAAAAATAATCAGACCAAAAGAAATGTTGGTTGTGTTTGGTAAAAAAATTATTAGTCGTATTATTATGATTGTGTCTTTAATTCGATAAACAGTTATTGTTCCGGTTTATTTTTTTCGGTTGGCTCAAGTCTTTAATTACCTGACAGCAGCGGTTGCGCTTACTGTCAGTGTATCCGGAAAGAACACCCGCTGTTAAGTCTGTCCGCCTGCTTTCTTCTCTTTGTACGCTTTCCGTTATCAAAAGCCTGGATCTAGGTTTCAACTCGGGCCGGAGTGCGTATTCGCAGCCTAAAAATCTGCCAGTTTTCAAGGTGAGTTTGTGGCATAACCGAGAGTAGAAAACATGGATGTCGCAATGATCGCTTATTGATCAGTCTTCTTTACCAACAGGCAGTATAAAAAAACGAGCAAACTGCTAAGCCTCAATCCTCCAGGATTGTGCAGAATCAAACGCATGCGCACCTTTTGCATAACAATGTCCGTTTTCGTACATAGTGCTGCGCCGTGTTAGTTAATTACTCTATGACAGTTAAAGAGCTGTAATGTACCGTAATATCCTGCGAACTGAAAAACCCTTTCTCAATAAGATCAAATTCAGTAGACAATAGCAACAACAAATTACCAACATTGTCAAGTATTGTGCTGTGTATGTGCGTACTGCTTATGTCTACTGTTTACGTGGAGAATACAAATAAAGCGTTGCCCGAGTTTACAATTGATGACGAACACAAAAAGCAGTTTCGTTTCGTATAAGGCAAACTATAACATAATATAATATAAGTTATATAATAATGAAAATATATCGAACGTTTAAAGTTTCCCCTTTCGAACGTTTCATGATGTTTTTAAGGACAGAAAAGATTATTCTATATGTGCACAAACTAGAAAACACCAGATCCTTATTTCGGGTGCACAGCTGTTGTATTCCGTTGATTTTTGATGTTTCTGGCTTTAGAAGGTCGTTTGCTCGGGTTAGGTCTCTTCTTGTACGAATCTGTTGGAAAAGATGGCTACTGCTAGGTTAGAGTCTTATACTCTCAGTCTACTCCGAAACATGCAAATGTTTGGACAGCGATCGAGGCGACGCTGGCCGGCCTACAGCCGCCAAGTATTTTTAAAACCGCTTCCTGCGTTCTGATTGGTGTACGATATTGGTTGCAGAGCGTCGGGGCAGATCCTCAGCCGGGACGCTTCTTTATTCCGCCGAACGGTTTGGGCGATCGGTATCTTTACTATTTCATATCATACATGTTACCTTTCCAATTATAAGCGTGGACCTGGTAAAGGTTCACGCGTAGGAACAGAATTAACGGAATTCTGCCTACCAAACAGATCTGGCAATGCTACACAGCGCCTACGCTATAGAAAGCGAGAAACAGCGCGATTGCGAGAACTTTACAGATAAGACTAAATTCGATAGAATTTCCTCATGGACAACTTCGCATTGCTGACTGCAGCAAGCGCAAGAATGGCACACGTAACCGCCACATGATGCGGGTGCGCACAGAACACCATGCGTTCGCCACACGTAGGCGGGCGCGCAACAAACACAACAGACTGCAAAGCGAGGGTGTACGCTGAGTACGCCTGCGCTCATATGCCTCTGGGTGGGAGGCTGAGCTCCGTCGAAGCAATATCCACGTCCAATTCCTTGGGATCCTTGACGGCTCGTCTGTGCGCATAATAAAACATCGAGATTTTATTCTCCTTTTAACAATCACAAAATTCCAATTACATATATGAATAAAGAGAGATCTCGAAACAAAAGAAGAACAGTACAAAATATCAACAGAATTTGTAATCGAAACGACTAGGATCCTCCGACTCGTAAAGGTCACTGGGTCCTGTCAACCGTAATCCACTTTGGTCATTCCGCTCTGTGAGCAATCTTTTAATCACAAATGAGATCCGCTTTAAGGAATAGGTGCGTATCACTGTACGACTTCTGAATACTGATGCTTGATCTTTGGATAATTGGCGTATCAAGTACGACTTCTGCCATAATGAGATTCTTCTTTTCGTCATGGAGGGACGTCTTTAAAGACAAGCTTGATGCTTCCTCCCTGGCAAGGTCATTCTCTTTAACGTTGATCGATGACTCGTTGAGCAGTGAAGTTCTCAAAGGTCATCCCTTTCTCATCTGATGTGCGACTCATTTGGGCAGTGACGGTCCCAAAAGGTCATCCTCTTTCCATCATGAATTCCATATTAAAGGTCATGGAGGGACTTAGCCGATTTTTGGCTTTCAAGCAATTCTGCTTGCCTCCCTTGCAAAGGTCATCTTTCTTTTTTAACCATTTTCTTCGGTCGCACATCCTTTCTTTTTCTTTTATTGCAGAAGAGGGCCGGTGTAACGCCGTAGCCTTCTTCCAATAACGCGCACTTTTTCTTTTCCTTACCAGGTTCGAGGGCCGGTTAATGCCGTAACTCCTCTTCTTCTGAGGCCGGTTATCGCCGTAACCTCGTTATTTGATAAGTTTTTCTTCAATTTTTCTTGAACTCCTTCTCTTTTTCACCCTTGTGGCTTTTGTCATTCCGCAAGAGTGTGCCGACTTTGTAGGCCGCAACTACAGTCTAAAGGTGACGTTTAAATATAATGTGGAAGGCCGGTTAGCGCCGTTACTCTTCCTGCTTCCAGGGCCGGATGACCTCCGTAACTCCCCTTATTTTAGATCGCATTAATCACCTGCAACAAATTTCTGCAAACAACAAGACATGAACGATATGACAATTCAAAACGTTACGTCGCTTCCGCCCTGATACTGTGCCTTTAACACCCTTCTCTGTGCTGCCGACTGATGGCCGTAACTAGCACATCAGCGATGCCCTAAAGGTCGTCACTGATCATTCGAACCATTGCCGCGGTTCCGATCGAAACGTCGTCTTTGTTTTTCATTTTGGTCAGACGTTCGATCCCGAGGTTCCCTTTCCCTCTCTTGCAGCTCCGGCTGCTATCACCGCTGTGCCGATTTCGGTTGCGTCTGCGCTGAATACGGACCCGGTGACTTCTTGCGTCAACCATCCTCACTTTCCAAATCCTGTGACCTTTCTCGAGAATGATTGGATGACCTTTCGTCTACGCGTGACCTTTTAAGTTCCTTGACCTTTCTCGAGAATGATCGGATGACCTTTCGTAGACGCGTGACCTTTCATTTTTGTCGGCTGACCTTTCTAAGCCCGACTGATACCTTTTTCTCAGCGATGATTTTGGTCGTTTGAACTCGTCTTTCTTGAAATTGCTAAAGGTCTCCGTCATTTCTTTTTCTTGCGTATGGAACTTGCGCATTTCCTCGACTTTGTCCTCGATCACAATTTTGATGACCTGCGACGATCGGCCTCCTTTCGTCAGGTTGACCTTTTCCTGCAGGAATATCGTATATTCCTCTTTTGTAAGTGAGAGTGGATCCTTGAGGATGATGTCCAATTGCTGGATGAGTAAATCGCGGATTATCGCCTCCTCTACCTCTTGTTTCTTAAATATCGCCCCCAAAACGGATACTGCAAGTCCCGTATGACCTTTAGCTGCATTGGCTAAACCATTCTCTGCTGCAGCTTTTTCTCTTTCTTCCAACCGCTTTCGTTCTGCTTCGCGCTTTTCTTTGCACCATTCTCGTTGTGACTTCTTCGAGCTTCTTTCTGAACGCATTCGCTTCCGCAGTTTTCGGAAGTTCAAGGGTGACGTCCCATCCAGGTCTGTGTCCTACCCACATTCGGTATTTATTCTCCAAGATCACTCTATCTTCGGGTGATAGTTTTAGCCACGTTTTTCTCCTGACCAGGTGTCGAAATACATCTAGGTTGCCTATTTTTGCTTCCTGCGGTATTATCTGGAGCTGATTTGGCATCGGCACGGCAACCACGCATTCCCAACACGGGAATCGTTCACTTGAAAGTATGTTGTTGCGCTTGTAATCCGGGCAATCCTCGTTGTAACTGGTCAACAAGTCGCGGTGACCTTTACGATCGATGGTCTCTGTCCCTTCTATGTCTTCTGATCAGTTTGGCTCCATTCAGCCATTTTTCACCGTTTTCACCTACAATCTCAAAAATTGTAAGTCCCGTGACCTTTCACTGATTTCATTTTCCAGCGTCTATCTTTACGCCTATGATGACAAGCCTATTCAGTGCTGAGCTTAAACTTTCGCTGCTATTTCGTGATGACCTTTGTCATCCTTCTTGACTGAACCGTTTTCAACAGTATGGGTGACCTTTCCCATCTTAGCCCACTCGCTAAGTGCCTTAGCCCCTTCGCCAATTCTACTCTTCTTGCAGAGTGTGGTTCGAAAGTAGATCGCGCTCTGCGCACTCTTATTCGTTACTGATTCTAACTGTTCATCTTGTGTGGTGGGCCTTCCTCCCACACTTTGCTTCTTGCTGATGTATGGTGACCTTCCTCTGCTACATCAGCACCACGACCTTTCAGTCCTTCTTTGCATCTGGATGAGTGCTGGTACTTTTTCCATCTAGATCTTCCAAAATAGGCGCTTCTTCTTTTCGTTTGAGCTCGGGTGACCTTCCCCCCGGCTGCAATTTCTGCTGACCTTTAGCTGCCAGCTTTCCGGATAAAGTCTGATGACCTTTATCTTCCAACTTTTCAGTTCGAGTCTGATCACCTTTCTGCCTCAATCGCTTCTTGGACCTTCCCTTCTTGCCTGCTCAGTACCATTCTCTCATGAGCAACTTTCAGCGAAGTCAACTTCGTTCTTCTTTTACTTAAGCTCGGGTGACCTTCCGCCCCGGCAGAACTTCCCGCTAAAGTGAAATGACCTTTAGCTGTTTCGCTCGCTCTTTGATCCTTCCGTCCTTCTTCGTTTTGCGCCAATCATTCGTGAGCGATTTTCAGTCAACGGCGTAATCGAAAATGACTTTGATTTGCGGGCTTATTTCTGATGACCTTTATGCCGTCCCAACTTCCAGTCTTAATATTATAAACTCCTATAAGCAGGATTTTCGGGTTTATTTGTTTTCGTCCTTTAGTTATCCGATCAAGTAATGCTTTGTCGGCTTCATCTTCGTTTTGGACTTCCCCTCTCA